AGTGGTGTCATGGTCTCAGCTGTCTTCCCAGAGAATGAAGATTTGCTTTTTGACGGGATTGTTGATGTATGAGGTAGGAACATAACTGAAAGTACTAGTGACTGAAGACTTTGCAGCTTGTTTGGCAAGATGGTCAGCAGTCTCGTTGCCGAGAACCCCGCATGACCAGGGACTCGTTGGAAATCTATTCTAATGTTGTTGTCTAAGTGTCTGAGGATTTCTTGCACAGACATCATATCATACATGTTACACAAATCTTTATACATTAGGGCTTTACAACTGTACATGTAGTAAATCACACTATAGAAGACTGTCATACTAACACATGTCCACATTCAGGAAATTCTTAAACATAGATAAACATGAAAGCAGCACATATAAAAGCTTGTTCTGCATTTATACCTTGACTTTGTTCTGGCATATTGCTAGGTCCCAGCATATATGCTGTGTAGGGTACATTTTACTAATGTAACAATAATAATAAAACAACCAAAAGTCCATTTGAGTCATCAAACTTTATTATGAAGATAAATCCAAAATGGCTGTTCAAAATGGAATTCAAGAGCAGAAAGCATGTGAATTGAAAAAATAAAGTCAGTAATTTGATATTTGTATTAGTGCAGTGGTGCCTTGTATAATGTACACCTCGAATAACAGACTTTCTGTTTGGCCGTTATGTGACTTGAGCAACAGACTGGTTGCGAACAACGGACTTTCCGTTCAGCAGTTACGTGAAGTGAACAACGGTCTTTCTGCAAACAAGTGCAAATGATATTTCCACTCTTTTGCCGTTGCTGATGACAATCTGCTATTTTTATAATATATTAGTATAATTAGAATATATTATTAGTATATCTGAAGTACAGAGCTTCCGTTGGAATTTGGCTTTGATCCCTTGTTTACTATGTTCATCACCTCAGTGCAGGGTATTTACATTTATTCAAGTGTTGTGCAAATCATGGCTTCTAAAAAAAAAAAAAAAAAAAAAAAAAAAAAAAAGGTGGTATCAACTGAAACAAAGCAAGACATCATCAGAAGGAGTGAAAGTTGACAAAAACTTCCTTGTCAAATGGGGAGAGGTTAAGGAGTTTACCAACACTCATTATACAAACAGAGCTGAGGCCAACAGGATCAATGATCTCTACAATGACACCCTTGCCTGTCATTTCTGACAGGTATTGAAGAAGAGAGAGAAACAGACCACCTTGGACATGTTTTTCAAGAAGCCTGCTGCCAAAAAAACAAAGGATGGAACAAGAGGAGTTGACCCTGCAAGCTCCAGTAGCCTCTCCTGAATCTGACTCCGATTAAAAAACAATAAAAAGAGACCTGCTGAAATGTGTACAAAGTCTGTATTTGTATGAATGTGTAAAGAAAGTGTTCCTCCACCTCCTCCTCACAACATCTGACTACCCAGCATAATTGGTGACTGCTCCATTTTCATTTTTTTATGGTACAGTACGGTTATTTTATGCTGTGGAATGAATTATGTTTTAACATGTATTTCTATGGAAAAATGCATTTCGTATAACGGACTTTTCACTTAACGGATGTGCATCTGGAATGGATTAAGTACGTTATACGAGGCACCACTGTATTTATATATATGAGTGGTGTACCATATTGATTTACACTTTCTAATTAACTGCAACTCATGGTCCAACATTTGGTTTGTTATGACAGTCACCATTAGTTTGGACATTAGTGTGCTACCAAATGGCAACAGTGGACAAAGGAATGAAGTCTGTGAACACCACAACATATTTATTCAGCCACCAGCAGATGAGCCTGGCATTGCCCAGGCAAAAAAACAACAACAAAAATTAAGATTATTAGATTAATTTGTACTTCTAATCCTTCTATTCTAGTAGCTTGGAATACCCCCTAGTGTTCTAGCAGCAGCAGAGTCATTCCGTGGTATAAATAATAAATTCTTATTACAAATAAAAATAATAATATACTGAATTTCTTATGATGTACTATACTAAAACGCAGTCAAAAAATGCAATAAACCGCATCAAATAATAATGTACTGAATCAAGGATTTCTCCCACACTGGGTCATATACAACAAATATGTGTAGTCTTTAACCAATATCCGGAGTGAAAATTCCAAACTAATATTGGCAAACACTTTTGATGTCCCTCCTGGGCTCTTCTTCAGGCCAAATTTACTGTACTGGATTCTTAAATCGAATATTTTTAAATAAGAATGTGCTCTGTTATTAGAAGTTCAAATAAGGAAGGTGATCACGTGCCTTTCCGAATTATAATTTCTTTATAATTTATATTTTTGGAGATATGTTGTGCGCATCCCATAATAATCTGGTGTATCGTATAATAAATTAATATTCATCATCTAATAAATACTGCCACACTGTTGAGAGATTCATTTCTTCTTTAAGATTGATGCAGGTTAGTTTGCGATCTGCTTTGTAAATTTCCATCGCTTCCAAAGTTCTTAGATGTTCATGATGACGAGTGGTGTGGATGACCCGTGCCTCATTAAAAATCGGGGTTATGTCTGTGTTTGTTGCATATGTCGACAATGCTGTCGTATATTTGTTGTGGGTGATGTCTGCTTTATGTTCCTTTATTCTAGTGGCTAACGGATGTTTAGTGGACCCTATGTACATTAGTTACCTTTGCCATCTGTCGTCCATTAAGGGAATGGTATATATTCCCGGTAGCCTGTTCGGGTTATGGGCGTCTTTTCCGTTTCTTAATAAATTATATATGGAAGGGTTTCTTCTGTATGTAATTCTAATTCCTTTTTTCTTTGCAATTGAATTATATATCGTTTTCATTTGTGGGTTGTACGTTACTGGGACCCTTTCCATATGTTCTTTATCAACTGCTCCTGATGTCTTATTGAAGAAAAGACATAAGCACCTAAAGTTGAGCACCCAAGACAGTTTAAGACAGCCGTGAACAACAACCGTTATGGCCTTTATTTGGAATTAGAGCAGCATAGTGAAAAAAAAATCTTCTTGAATATAGAAATTGAAATTAAAGAAAGAACAATACAAACAAAAGTTTATAGAAAACCCACAACTATATCATCGTGCATACTTATCAATTCCTGTGACCCGTACTCTTACAAAATAGCGGCATTCGGGACTTTGGTAGAAAGGGGCTATTCCCACTCTTCCACGACCTACGCTCTACAACAAGAATTAGCGTATATTAGAGATGTCGCTAAAGACCACGGTTATGGCAACATAATAAACAAATTATGTAATCAGCACCTTCACATAAACAGTAAAACAGATGAAGAAAAGACATCAGGAGCAGTTGATAAAGAACATATGGAAAGGGTCCCAGTAACGTACAACCCACAAATGAAAACGATATATAATTCAATTGCAAAGAAAAAAGGAATTAGAATTACATACAGAAGAAACCCTTCCATATATAATTTATTAAGAAACGGAAAAGACGCCCATAACCCGAACAGGCTACCGGGAATATATACCATTCCCTTAATGGACGACAGATGGCAAAGGTAACTAATGTACATAGGGTCCACTAAACATCCGTTAGCCACTAGAATAAAGGAACATAAAGCAGACATCACCCACAACAAATATACGACAGCATTGTCGACATATGCAACAAACACAGACATAACCCCGATTTTTAATGAGGCACGGGTCATCCACACCACTCGTCATCATGAACATCTAAGAACTTTGGAAGCGATGGAAATTTACAAAGCAGATCGCAAACTAACCTGCATCAATCTTAAAGAAGAAATGAATCTCTCAACAGTGTGGCAGTATTTATTAGATGATGAATATTAATTTATTATACGATACACCAGATTATTATGGGATGCGCACATCGTATATCCACTAGTTAAAATTATTTTTAGAAACGGCATGTGATTATAAAATACGCAAGATTATTATAAGATGCGCACAACATATCTCCAAAAATATAAATTATAAAGTAATTATAATTCGGAAAGGCACGTGATCACCTTCCTTATTTGAACTTCTAGTAACAGAGCACATTCTTATTTAAAAATATTCGATTTAAGAATCCAGTACAGTAAATTTGGCCTGAAGAAGAGCCCAGGAGGGGCATCAAAAGTGTTTGCCAATATTAGATTGGAATTTTCACTTTGGATATTGGTTAAAGACTACACATATTTGTAATATATTGAATTTATTGTTAATTTAAATAATAGCTAGGGGCACTGCTAGTGGCCGTTTTTGGCATACCATGATACACCCAGTTTTTCACTTTTATATAGTAGATTGTCAGTGCATGAGCCAACATTATAGAGTGTGATCATCAAGGTCAACGTATGTGACCAACAATGAGTCATGGCTTCATTACCATGAGCAATGAGACATGAAGACCAAGGTGTAATCAGTGCAATGGAAGCATAAGGGCAGCCCCTGCTGAAGAAATTCCAGACAGTGCCCTTAGCCAGCAAGTGCATGGCCATAATGTTTTCAGACACTGATAGCATCATTTTCATTGACTGGCTGAAACCACAATTATCATTAATAACATTGTATATGTGGTGACTTTCCAGCACTTGCATCATGAAATTCAACAGAAGTGGCCAGGGAAAGGGGCAAAACGCGAACTCCTGCAACATGACAATGAGTGTCCCCACACCAGTTGGGAAACAACTGCTGCCATTGCCAAGATGAGGTTTCAGCTACTGCCACATCTTCATACTCTCCAATTAGGTCCCTTCTGTCCATTACCTGTTCAGGCCTTGAACTGAAAGCTATTGTTGTGGGTGTGGGTGTGACATGTTCCAAAAAAGTGTCAAAAAAAATAAAGTGTAACTCAATATGGTACACCTCTCATACATACTAAAAAATGAATCTCTCATTTTCTATTTGAAACTGATTTGAAAAATTTTGTTCTTTGTTTACTAATAAATATTTTATTAATGTTTCTATTGATATTTCTGGTTTTTTAAACTGATATAGTAATTAATTTTTTGTAATTAATTATAAATTCAAAAATTTTTTTCAGAATGTTGTCATGTTTTCAAGAGTGAAAGGTAAAGTAACCAGTCCTATCTCATTTGCTAAATCGCCACAGAGAATAGCACCAGCACCTAGCACTGGATGTTTAATTCCTGGTTCTAAAGTTACCATAGTTACTGCTGCTGCTGCTGCAGTATCATCATCAGCATTAGCCACAACAATAGCAAAACCTGTTACAACTCCATCTTCTCCAACAAAAGTCATTCTGAAACCTGTTGTTCCAGTATGTTTGTTCTAAATTTTAACAATTATTTAAATTGTTTTGTCTATTCAATTTTTTGATATTTTTCTTAAATATAATAATTAGAAAGTTATTATCCGACTCCATTATTAAAATCAAAAATATCAAGAACATAAGATATTTATAAGAATAAGATATTTAAGAACTTCTAAAAAATAAATTCATATATTTAATTTTAATTATTGTAATTATTCTAGATATTTCATAATTTATAGGTATTTTTAAAAATCATAAATATACAGTGGAACCTCGGTATACGTCTGCTTTAGAATATGTCCAATTCGGAATACGTCCTGTTTGGACGAAACAAATTTTGCTCGGTATACGACTTAATTCAATTATACGCGCCATCTATGAACAAGTAGCACTATTGGTGTACTACACTAGACTAGACGTTCGTGGTGCTACGGTTTATAACTTTCTTAAATTTCTTCTGATTTTAATTTGTAAGTAACATTTTATTATTTTTATTAATCATAAATTGCAAAAGGGCAACAGAAAAATAAAAAAATGGCCAGAATCATAACGGAACTGAAAAAAGAGATTGTTGAGAAATATAAAGGTGGCACGCGTGTTCGAGATTTAACGAGATTTAACTGTTGCATTCTGTATTCCGAGAACGACGATATCGACAATCATGAAAAATAAAGACATTATTAAATTTGCTAACGTTGCGAAAGGGGTTAAATCAATTTCTAAACAGAGATCGAAGACATTAGA